TGAGAAAAGATCACAAATTACAATCTCCCTGCTACCTTCCTGCTTTGCTCCCTTTTTCTCTCATAAGTAGTCACTGTGAATCTTGAGTATTTTACCCACTCAAGCCAAAAGATATGCTCAAGAAAAGTGTAACATTTGGCTTAAACAGATGAGCAGCCTTCTTTCTGTTTTCCTGCTCTCCAAACTTCCTCCACACCCCTCCTTTGCCTTTAAACAGTGCCTGAGCTGGTTTGGAGTACATTAGAAGTATAGATGGTGCATAAAACTTCATTTCCTCCTGACCTACATATAAGTTCTTTTTCTGCAGTGAGGCAGATAGAGGTACAAAGCTGATGCTATGAAGAAGCATTCCTTGGGCTGTGACCAGGCCGCTGCTGCCATGTCTGTCCACTCTGGGGGTTTTAGTACAGCTATTTTCTCTGGTGGTTTATGGCCTGAGGCAGAGAATAGTGGATTCCTGGAATTTTGGTAGTAGAAGCCCTGCAGGAGTGTGGTAGTGACTTGCAAAAGTAAGAATATGGAAGTTCTTTGCCATGTGTTGACATAGCTGACAGCAGGATTTGTAGACTATCATATCCCCTTTTAAATCATCCCACAAAATGAACTGGCAGTGTAAGTGTTTTGTACCTCAAACTGCCAGTTCATTTTGTGGGATGATTTTGCAAATTCCCTGCTCTGGTTTCAGTGTTTGTCTTAGGCATGGGACATGAATGGGAGTGGTCTCAGGAAGCTGTTTGGATGATTCTGCCTTGCCCCGAGTCGGGCGCCAGCTCCAGGGCCCTTTGTAGGGGAGAAGTATTTCGCCGTCCCTGCAGGCTCTTCACAAACTGCTCCTTTCCTCCCGCCTGTCATCACCATCCCCTCTCTGGACTTTACTCTCACATAGGCTGATAGTTCTTTGGCTCCTGAGTAGTTTTCCATTCAGCCTATATTTGTCTTTTTCACTTTGAGTCAAGTCGTAAATAACTGTTTACATAGTTATTATAATACAACTGCCAATACTTTGTAGCTTTCCCTATTCAATTTTTAAAATGTTTACTTAATTTTGCTTTTTATAAAAAAATAGGAAAAATATGGTGCCTTGCTCCATAATTGTTAGTTGAGGATATATTTTTATTCTCATAGTCACAAAAGAAGTGCATTGGTTTTGAAAACATTCAGTAAATGCTTCTAAATCCAAAGTCCATACCAAATCTACTATTTACTCACTTTTAAATGATAATTTTGAGGTAGACGTTTTTTCATAGTTAACTTTTAGAGTATTTTGTTATACTTCTATTTCTCATACCCCTGTCCACTCTGTGGATTAGACTACTACTACTTTTTTACTCCATATTTCAGGTAAAACATTGTATGATAGTAATATTTATTAAGTTCTTACTTGTCCTATTACTTTTCTAAGTGCCTTACATTGATATCCTCACAGTAATCCTGTCATTTAATAATTATCCTTATTTTAAGGAAAATGAGGCACAAAGAGATTAAGTAAAACTTTTCTGAGATTATACATCTAAGAAGTGGGTAACCCAAGTAAGTCTGCCTCCAGAGCTTTAACTACTCCAGAGCTTTTGTTACTACTCTGCCTATAGAGTCCAAATACACTCAGTCCTATGGGGACTCTGCAGATAGGACTAAGGACTTCCATCTGTAGGCTCATTTTGCTTTGGATGAATCTCTGATCTGATCCCACCAGTTGTCCTGTCCCATCCCAGGCATGACATGTGACCTGTCCACTAGGTGTGGGTATAAAAGGCAGTCTTTTGGAAATGTGCTGGAATTTGAATTGAGCCCTTATAAAAATCTGATATTTTTAATCGAATGAGTTCTGTCAACTCACATTATGGTGGTGAATTCTGCTATGAACAACCAAGTCCATTAAGATTATATCATTTTTTATCTCAGCGTTTTCTGGGCACCAAGTCTTCTTTCTTCACAGGTACCTAAGATGTTTTGCTTTTACCTCTGCAATTAATTCAGTCACCACGTGTTATTACTTACTATTTCAAGCTTTCTTACATCTGTCATAAAATGGTGAATAGTTAAACATTAAAACTGATACATTTTAAAAATATGTATTAATTCATTTAAAATAACACAATAAATCCATTTTATGTTAACATAAATAACACGTTTTTAAGAGAATAACCATATTCAAAAAAATTTTTAATGTAGTTGGAGGAGTAGATTTTTTTACATTTTTGCAAGTCTTTTTTTTTTTTTTCCTTTTTGTCTTTTTTACTGACTGGTAACGGGATCGCAACCCTTG